AGAGAGACATGGCACTACTGGAGAGAGTCCAGCAGAGGGCTACTAAGATGACGAGGGGATTGGAGCATCTCTCCTCTGAAGGAAGGCTGAGAGAGCTGGGCCTATTCAGCCTGGAGAAGAGAAGACTGAGAGGCGACCTCCTCAACGTGTACAAGTATGTGAAGGGAGGGTGTCGAGAGGATGGGGCCAGACTCTTCTCCGTGGTGCCCAGCAACAGGACAAGAGGCAATGGGCAGAAACTGAACCACAGGAAGTTCTTCCTGAACCTGAGGAAAACCCTCTTTCCTGTGAGGGTGACAGAGCACTGGAACAGGTTGCCCAGAGAGGTTGTGGAGTCTCCTTCCCTGGAGATATTCAAAGGCTGTCTGGACACAATCCCGGGTAATGTGCTCTAGGTGACCCTGCTTGAGCAGGGGGGTTGGACTAGATGATCTCCAGGGGTCCCTTCCAACCTCAACCGTTCCGTGATTCTGCGATTCACTCAAAACATTTGCTAAATCTCCTCATGTAGTTGCAATTCAAATCTTTAACAATATTCAATTACCAGTCACAGAAAATGAGCTTTCAACAGATGTAAGTTAATAAATACAGAGAGTTAATTGACCTCCTCTGACACTACTCTTTCAAAGCTATTGATTATCCATAAGACTTTATATAGTAGTAGAAAGACTGCAGTGAATTTCACTTGTTTTAAGGCTTTAAGTCTCTACCTTTGCATTATAAAAAAAAAATATATACATTTGTCTTTACTGGAAAAAATAACATTTAAATTTACAATTAAAAAACTAAAATATAAGGCTTATTGTTCCTATAGAAAAATATCAGGAGCAGAAGGCTCAGTAGAAAACAAACTATGATTTAGAAGATAAGCTAAACTAGTTCAATATTAAATCGAGTCAGAAAACTGGCTTTTAGTGACTACTTCCTCCTTTCCGCAGGTCTAGTATTTCTTGGAAGTATTTCTTCCATCCATTTAATTGAGACTCTTTCACTGTGGACATCCAGTGCTAACACCAGCCTTTTTCAGGCCTCCTTCTCTCCTTATAAAGATCAGTATATATCAGCGTCAAAAAGCAGCATGACCATTCAAAGGAACAGAGCAATGTGTTGTATTATAAAGGCAAAAGGGAATCCACACAGGGAAGAAGGGGTGGGGAGAGGTGAAGGGAGAAGACGGGGAAAAGAAAACCCACACCCAAACAGCTCTAGGACACCAAGAGACATGCAAAATGGAAAAAAATAGAGCAAATAAATAGCAGCATTTCTTTTAAGCCACTGCCCTCCCTTTAGCACTAGTAAGTAACTTCTAAGTAACAAGTGTCTATATTACGCTGAATGGAGTTTGGAGCATTCAGCATCCTTCAGCTTACCAAATGGACAGGTTTGAAGGCAAACAGAAAAGCAGCTGATTGCCTGAAGTCACCCACACTAAAGAAACCATGGGGAACCAGGGCTTACCAAAAACACAGCTAGACTTTACGAGCTAAAAACTTGCTTTGCCAAGCTTCAGGTTTTGTGCAATACCACCTAGACTACTAAAACATAGAACTTCCACTGAAAACTGGTATTTCTTCTGACAATGAAAAATTATGGGAAGCTCTGACTTTAACTTAAAAATAATTAGTCATTATTGTAAACAGAAGTCTTTGTTATCAAAAAAGGAAAAGCAGGTAATTATCAAGGGTAGCTCCAATGTTTTTTTCCCTCTGAAACTGTGGTAAGTTGCCCATCAGAAAGCTTCTCCCACCAGTTCAAAGCAGATTTTCAGCACTAAGGGAAGATTCATCCCGTGGAGCAGTTATCTGTGCTTCAGCAGACACAAAAGAATTACAGAAGTGCTAAAATCGGTACCTATGTATTTTTATTAGCAAGATAAACTCAGAGTGAATTAGCAGGCATCTTCCTAAAGGAAAGAAATTCAGAACACAGTGAAGATGACAATTCTGAGCCTCAGTCTCTGAGCTCCAAGGTGTGTCACAGCTAAGTGAAATTATTTGGATAGCCATCAGCTCTTTTTCTGGCGTTCTTCAGAGAAGACTCTTGACAGGATTTAAAAACTACACAGTCTTAGAGTCACAGAGATGGAATTAGGTGCTGCCAAGCTAGAAATAACTTGCGATCTTGTAACCAGCTCAAGTAAACAGAGGTCTATCAAAAAGATGACTGTGACCATACTCTGTTTGAGAACAAAAGCCAAAAGTCTATATCCACTCTGAAAAGGAGACCATAAGCTTAGTGTTGGAAAAAGGTGTGAACACAAAATAGTCCAGGAACAGCCTACTGCAGCGCTAACGGCTAAACTCTGAATACCTACACAACACAGTAACAGATAAGCAGGCACACGTATAGTGGGCTTTTCACACTAACAGAAGCACATAGGTATTGTAAGATATTTAAATAAATATTGCTTAACTACTATAACCTGAATGCAGTAACATTCATTAACTGTGTTAAAAGACATTAGCGAAGGAGGCCGCAAAAAATGAAACCCTCTAAAAAGCCTGACAAGGCGCTAAGCTTGCATTCATTTGTTGCAACAGGAGGAAGTATGTTGTTAGCATTACCTCCTACTTACTGAATACAGAAGAGTCTTCTTTCACTGTTAACAGGGAAGAGGAAGTCTAATTTTTCTTCACACAATGAAAAGGCCTTCTCTCTCCCCACTAGGACAACTAGGTTGAAACTACCAAGAAAAATCTTGAAAGCTTCCCCGGGCTCTTGATACCAGATAACGTGGTCATTCTATAGATCACAAGCAATTCCCATCTCACTATGTCTAGAAATAAAGTAGCCTTGAGCTTCCAGTACCTCAAGATTAAGGTCACATTTCCTGGACTAGCATCATGGTAACAGAAACATTCAGGATAGCAAGTGGAATAAATTACTTGTTCCATTTATGAAAACCACCTCTGGAAAACAAAGTAGTGCCTAATAATACAGTTCGTAAGGTGATTTTACCTGATACTCTACATAAGAAGAAATTTGAAATGGTAACAGAAAACAAGAGCATTTCCCTAGTGCAAATAGCAAGACTGTAGACATATGGGAATACTCTTACTGAAGAGATATCCAGGACAGGCTAGTCCATAAATGCAGGAAGAGAGGTGATGACAACAAGCATTACAGCTGTAAGCATCAGCTACTCTAAAAGCAGCACAGAGTGCTTTTACATGGAAAGTGCATATATCTGCACAGAGTTATTCAAGAATAGGTGAAGAAATGGATGAGGTTTGGCCAGGAACACAGACAAACTAACACCACCAGGAGGAGGAGAAGGTGCAAAACATAGTAAGAGGCAAGAATACAGGAAGAAAAAAATGGCACCAAAATTCACCGATCGTTGAAGACAATGAAAGAGAAGCAGCAGTTACAGGGACAAATTTAATAAAAGAAGAATGGTAGACGCGTTCGGTGCCCAAAAAAAGCAGACTGAAGATAGAAAAAGTAATTTTTAGTGCGAGCAGTTTTCAGGACACAGCAACAACCAAAAGAAATCTCAGAAAGTAAAGAATACTTTGACTGCATTTCACCTGCAGCTTGCTTTATAAATTGCAAAAGTTATTTGAACAAATGCTTACCACCATTTTTAATTAAAAAGTAAGCACTCAAAGTTATGTGCTTATAAAAATCAGTACAACTCAAATTCATCATTAAAGTACAGACTGAAGAAAATCTAAAGCTATACCAGGAACAATACTGTCAAAAGCTTTCTCAATAAAAAGATGTTTCAAGTACAGCATGGATAACTAGCTTGAAAGCTAGTTTTTGTGATTTTTACACATTATTGTAAATCCAAGAAGATATTATATACATATCCAAATACATACCAACAGCAAATGAAGTGAGCGCAGATCTTTGCTATAGTGAAAAAGGCTTTGCAGCATGTCTTGCACAGTTTTATCTTCTGAGAGGTGCTAAAAAAACAACAAAAAAAACAAGAACACACACACACTGCACACCATTAACAAACATCTGAATCTTCTCAGGAGAACAGTTCTTACTAACCAGAAAAAAGTATCAGTGAGCTACCTTTCAGAAAGACCTCAACTTATTGGACAACGCGTAATCTCTAATTTTTTGGTCTTTTTCGTGACATTTCAACTATATCTTCAGACTTGAGTTAAGCAAAGATTCCATGTCACAAGTGATTTATCCAATATCAAACTCAAATAGTGAGAGAACTACTAATGTTCAGTGAAAACTTTACACACTTATAAACTGGCCTTATTTTAAAAGTTTTCCTATAAAAGGTTTAAAGAGCTTTAAATACCT